TCTGTTTGCCAGAGCTGTGCTTGGTCGGGGTTTTGAGCTAAAGCGTGAGCTGCTGAATTTTGGTTCCCATGCTTAGAGAGTGTGTCTCTACGAATGGAGTTTGTTCCAGCAATCGCAAAAGCGAAAGCTTGCCCTGAGAAGGATGAGGCCTCGGGGCTAGGCTGGAGTTCTGCGCGCTGTGCATTCAGTTCTTATCATCTTTTCAGCTTCACTTCACACAGTAATTTTCCAAACTTTCCTCGATTGATTAGTGGCACCTCAAGGTTGGTTTCTATCTGCAGCAGTCCATCTGGCGCTAGCCGCTGGTGCTTGCTAATACACGGAAAGTAATTCAGCGTTTGACTTTACTAATTAAAGGAGTTTGGGTTGGAGTTTGGGTGTTGTTTTTTTTCTCGTGGATGATTCTTTCTTTTCTTAACTGACACTAAAGCAAAAAATAACCTGCTCTTCAATGGATTATAGCCAAGAGCTTATAAAAATTTTGGCAGACCTCAAAGGCAAGGATTTTTATGATGAAAACAACTTGACATAATAAAAGAAATTGTTCTGCAGAGACCTTTGAAGTGACCCCAGAAAAAACACTGCAAACCTCCTGTCTCCCTGGGAACAATGAGGAGGTCTGAGTTAATTGCCAGCATCTTTAATCTACATCTCCCTTGTGATTTTTCTCTCTGGAGTTTTAGAATGATTCTGATTAGCTTGACTAGAAGACCTAATTCTGTCCCAAATTATGCTACTATAAATCAGATGAGCGTCTTTGTTACAGCTGATGAAATTATTGTGGCATGAGCAAACCAAGAGGATCAGAATCACCGAACAGAAGACATAAAAAAATCTGGCTGTCCTTTCTCATCCTGCTGGTATCAGTAAGGTGATCTGGGAGTGCCTGACTGGGGACTGCGTGAATGGTGTCCAAGCCAAAGATCAGTGAAGCCAAAATCTGACCTTGTGCTCACCTGAGTGAGCTTTCTGTGAAATCTTTGCAGTGATGGGAGAGAGGACCAGACACAAGACCGGAGCTTTGGTACTCAGCCTCATAGGTATTAATGGGAGACAAATTATGTATCCCATCCCTGCCCATGCTGTGGGTAAGGTAGAGGACTGAATGAGCAGGCAAGGAGAATCCGACTGGGTATTGTGCATGGGTTAGAGGACATTTCTCTGCCCAGAGTCTCAGCCTTTGTGGGCAAAAATCATTTCCCCATGTGAAGGGGGCAGCATCTCCTTTCCCACAGGGTCTGCAGCGTGTGATTACAGTTGGCAGCACTCTGCAGCACAACCTTGCCAATCATCTTGATTGAACCTTTCAGCTCTTTCCCTGCAGCTGCCAATTTTAGTGTGCCATGTGTCTTGCACATCTCTTTCATCGGAGCAGAATTAGGAAACATGTTTCTTGCCGACTTATCTCTGTTGATAAATAATTGTGTGTTGCGTTTACTGGAAGCTTTGAACTGGTACATTTGGAGACACTGTTTAATATGTCTGTCTGAACAGCCGTGGTTTGAACAGAATTTAATTACTGAGAATGGATTTCTGAGATTGGAAAGCACAAGAAAGGTGCTCCAGGTCCTTGGAAGACATCTACAAGGGGCTTGGAGGGCCAAATGCTGGAGCTGCAGTCAACTGGATTAATCAGATTGGAAAGTGAAGAGAGGAGGAAGTAATTTCTGCTCAGCAAAATGGGTGACATTGCATTCAGGGTGCCCCAAGGGAGGAACAGCAGGCAAAGCAGTGCTGAAAAAATATATCTGTGATTTTGGGACCACAGCAAGAGTTGTTAGCTTTCCCTCTGTGTTTGTCTGGTCTGAGAATAAATGTGGAGAATCAAACTGTGCATTGCAGCAGCGAACCTTGCACCAGTCAGATGCCTTTGACTTGGTTCCAAAAATAGTTAAAGAGTTGAGTTCACGGTGTTATAGACCAGCTGCTGGCAAATTCAAATGGTCTGGTTCTCATTTACACCAAGGCCTTGCTGGAGATGTGCAGCGGGATCTTGGAGTAGGTAAAAATGTACTCGTAAAGTCATTCGGAGCACTTTACAGGACAGCATGAAAGAAGTCCACAGCATGGCGAGAATCAGGCTGTAAAAATCACAGACACTGTGTTTCAGTCCAGACAGGTTGCTGTGCATGTGTGTTGTCCTGCATTTCTCCAGAGCTATTTGATTAAAAAAAAAAAAAAAATTATGACAGATGCCTGTGGGCATGCTCTCTTACAGGATTGCTTGTACTCTCTAATCCTCGGCAGCTCAGGAATCCTTCCCCTAGGTACTGCTGCATTTATACTGGGTGATGAGTCCAAGAATGAATCCACAAAGATGTCAAACAGGAGAACAAAAGCCCAGCAGTCTGTTTATCCCTCCTGTGTCCCTTTGGTTTATCAGTGAGTAGTAAATAATGCAAATTCTAATTACATCTTAAATATTTTGAGAGCCAGATGAGCTTTTTGAGCCCTCCAGAGGAGAAATGTGGTGTGTTGATTGATTCTTGCTGAAAATGCTGTCTAGCATGCAAGAAAAATACCTCTACAACTGTTGGTTGGCCCTGACTCTTGTCTCAGCAGCTGTTTCCCAGGTGGGGAGCTGGCAGCGCCTGCAGAAGCCCAACAGCAGCCCTCAGGTAACTCCTTGTGTGGAGACGGCTCTGTCTTTAATCATTTTAATACATTTGACTTGATTGCCAGCCAAATGCATATTTGGTGAAGAGGTGCATGTAAGATGTTTGGAGTCACAGAATCACAGAATGGTAGGGGTTGGAAGGGACCTCTGTGGGTCATCTAGTCCAACCCTCCTGCCGAAGCAGGGTCACCTACAGTAGGCTGTAGAGGACCTTGTTCAGACAGGTCTTGAATATCTCCAGAGAAGGAGAGTCCCTAGACTCATTTTTCACCCTCCAGTGTGAATGGATGGAGCACCAGCTGTGCCAGCCCGACTCCGAGATGCCCATCCGAACAGAGGGGAAGGAAGGGAGAGGACTTTGAACAGGACAAAGCAGACTGTTGCTTAGTAGTTGGCAGTGATTTGGTTTAGCCTCGTGTCACCTCTCAGCTTGATCCCTCCAGTTTCCCCACGGACCCTCACAGGCGTCGAGCGACAGGCTGCTGCGCATAGCCCTCAGAGGCAAGGGATGAAGCGGAAAAGAACTTTGCTCTCTATAAATGTTGCAACTGTGTTAAAGGAAAGGCAGAAAAGGGCAGTTGGAGTTTGATTGCTTGTCCGTTTCACACCACTGAACAGACTGATCACTGCCTGTGTCTGCCCAGACAGCTTAACCCCTGCTCAGGCTCCAGGGTGAATCACAGCACTTGCATCCACACAAAAAAAACCATGTCTGTTGCTGAAAACTTTCTACCGCAGATTGATCTCTGGGGTTCATGTTGACCAAAAGCGTTCTTTCTGGTTTTGTTAAACCCATGCCGCTGAAAGCGTGGCATTGCTGTCTGATAGCTGTACGTCACTAACCAGCAGCGAGGACGTGATATGAAAGAATAGGTAAAGCGTGTGATGAGGAGCAGGAGAGGTGGGTGCCGTTTGTGTGAATGCAGTCGTCAGACCGCATTGCTCAAAGTCTTTAGCGATGCTGACGGAGTAAAACAGCTGCAGAGGCAATTTGTACCTGCTCCTTGGCGGATCCTCTTTATTGGTTTTTGCGTGGAGCTGTATTCGCTGGCGGCTTCTCGCCCAGCTGCACGGTGGGTGGTGAGCTACGTGTGCCTCAGCGTGGGAAATGGGTTTGAGAACTTGCTGGTAAGACGTCACTGCATTTGACTTTCGGGTGAGAGGAATCAAGAGGAGGTAGTGTTTCTCTTCCAGCAGCCGAAAGTTGATTCAAGGTTCTCTGACGGTCTCAGGGAAACTGTGAGTACTGATGGTTGTGTGGACAGCAATGCTCTCCCCCTTGCAGATGTGGTCATAGAGCAAAGATCTATATCTAGGAGCTTCTTCCAGCTCCACAGGAGAAGAGTGGACAGGATCCTTGTCTGACTTCCCTGCAAGCCCTGTTGCTTCAGGTGTGACCAGAACGTTGTTTTATTCACTGCCTCAACAGCAAGTGCTTTATGGATCAGCTTTTCTGTACATGTCATACAGAAAGACCTCTACACCGGTGACACTTGATCATTTTCTTGTTCACAGCAAGCTAATTCACGGTTCCTTCGCTGCAAACATGGTTTAAATCAGGAACGATGCCACTGAAATTGGAGGCAGGCAGTAATTCTGGGTTTACGCTAGGACCACCAAGACTCACATTAGGCGTAACTCAGTGCAAGTAAATTCAGACAGAAGCTTTGATTTTGAGGGGAACTGTGCTGGAATTTCAGCTCTAGGACTAGTAGCGAGATAGCACTAGAACTCTGGTACGTTTTGTCTAAATAAGAAGTGTAAATTACATGGCAGAATTCACTTTGCTCTGCACACAGCCTGTGTGGTGTTAATTAAATCCTCAGCTTCATTTTCAGTGGAAGGAAGACTGAGAAAACGAGTATGAAATCATTTCTACGTTTAATTAAAGTAACTCTCTTCCATTCAGATGCTTTCCCACTATGATATTGGTGATGCAGTTGTAACGGCGAGCCAGTAGGAATCACAAAGAAACTGGTTTTACAGGGACAAAATTGACTTAAAAACTTAGGAATTTTATGGGTAGCGTTACAAAACTGGGAGCCTAAGGTAAAAGCCCAGATCTCTGCACAGAGAGGCTTTTGCTTTGTTCATAATCTCTCCTTGGAATTTCTTTGCACTGGCTCTGAACCACTGTTTCAGATGTTTTATTGTAATGTTTTATCATTTTAATCGTACCAGATTCCTGTAGAAACCTCAGGCCAGTCCTTTGGTTGCACATTGCTGCTATCCTAAGCCAACTGGGAAAAGAAGTGCGGCAGTTCTGGATGAATCCTGCAAGATGCTGTGGAGTGATGAGTACCAGGCACTATCAGAAGATTGATGATTACTAACTTTTTGGTTGACTTTTGTTCTTACACTTTCTTTTTCTGTCTTCCTGTAGGTTATAACCCTGGAAGGATGGGTTGACATCATGTATTATGTGATGGATGCACATTCTTTTTACAATTTTATATATTTTATATTGCTTATAATAGTAAGTATGAACTGTGAGATGCTCCCATTCCTTGTGCTTGTGGGGTAAAGCTGCTCCGTGGGCTTTTCGCAGAGAAGAGCCAGCTAGGGTTCAGAGTGGGAGACCTTCCTCCCACCATAAACCGTAGTCATGCAGGTTGGGATTAGTGCTGTGGGTACAGATTATTGGCTACAGCAGTCCTTTTTAGTGTCACATGTGATGCGTTGTCACAGCTTGTCAAGCCATATGGTCTTCCCTCCCTCTTACTCTCCCAGTCTTGGTCTTGTCACCTTGATGCGTCCTAACTGTTGTGCCTTGGCCAAGCAACTGCTAATCAGAACAAAAAGTGGAGAGGCTGTAGATTTTCTTTCTTTAGCCTCCTCAATGTGCCAGAGAACACCTCGTTTCAGTGGAGGGCCCTCGAAATATTGAACTTCACCTGAGCTCTTTAAATAACAGTAGTAACAGCAGTGCACCTTTCTGAGGTCTTATGGTGCTGTCATTCCTAAAAACAAAGTGTTACTCACTGGAGGTGCTGGAGGTTGCCTTCAGAAGCTGCTATTCCATGTTAGCAACGTTCTTTTTTTACAATGGACACAACCTTCTCGAGGGGTCTAGATCTGTTGAAAGGTTAAACATTTAAGTCAGGAGGAGAGCAAAGGGTAAAGTACCATGTAGATGTCAGGCAGGACATGGGGTGGAGGCACTTCAAAGTGCTTTTGTGGCTGGATATTCTTTATATATAACCCCATCCTCGTCAATGTGGTTTTGAAGATCTTGGGAAGTCAAACCACCACAGCTCCCACCAGTGGGAAAGGCATGGATCAGAGCAGCGTGAGAGTTTTCCAATAATGGATAGCGTTCTGAAGCCAGTGATTTTTGAGCCTTTAGCAACAGGCCATGGATAGTAGAGATTTATGCTCCACTCTTTTGAGCCCTTCTCTACATATGGATCATTGCAGAAAAGCCAGAAGGTGACTAATCTCCAAGTCACTTGGAGCTGGGAATGGCACCCTTGCTGATTCTCAAACAGCATCCAGGCTGATATTACGAACTGGAGAACAGCACTGCAAACCATCTCCCAATGGCTTCCCCTGAGGATTCAGCAGACAATGGTCCGGATTAAATCCATACGTTTCCTGCTTTTTGCTGAGCACAGCACAGAGGTTTGGCCATGTAGAGAGTGGCACTTTCTTGACGTCAGTCCCTTTCAAGCCTAAGGGCACTGATTATCTGATGCAAATATTTGACATTTGCCTTTGGCTGATTTATGAACCCAAGTGGTGAAAAACCAGTTTGTAGACTCAACAGCTGAGGGAAGGATGTAGACTTGGGTCACTTCACATTCTTGTCCTTGGGACTTCACTTTGAAAACCAGGTATCGCCAAAGAACATGTCAACTCAACCAGACAATAAATCAGGCCTTTCTAGGAGCACTGAAGCTCCTGGAGATGCATTTCTCTGTGTCGGAGAGATAAAAGAGTACAAGGTCACAGATGCATGGATCCTGACTGTCCTCCTCAAAATGAGGGTGCGCTGTGAAGTGGTAGAGGAGGAGAAGAGGCAGTTTCAGTACAGCACAAATTGGACTTCAGACCATCTTTCCTTGCAGGTTGGCTGGGAGTTTCCTAGTGATCTGTTTTGTGGTGGTAACATTGCATTGTGTTCCATACACCCTGCGTTAGCAGCAAATGTCATTGCTGTTGAGCGGAGGAAAGTGGTGAAGGCTATTGTTCACAGCTTTCTTCGCCATTGCCAAGATAATTAACATGGCTTAGGAGCAAATTTAGCAGCCTAGGCACATGTTGACATAACATTTGGTGAGCAGACCCTGAGATTTGGCATGTTTGGAAATCTCGGGATTTCTAAGAACCACACTTCAAGTCCAGACAGCACGTGGTGGAGAAGAGTGTGTCTTGCTTTGTAAAGTCCCTGCTAATTCCTTTCCCTGTGTTTTTTCCAGGTTGGTTCCTTCTTCATGATTAACTTGTGCCTGGTTGTGATAGCAACACAGTTTTCTGAAACAAAGCAGCGGGAGAACCAGCTGATGCAGGAGCAGCGGGCCCGTTATCTCTCCAATGACAGCACAATTGCTAGCTTCTCAGAGCCAGGTAGCTGCTACGAGGAGCTGCTCAAGTACATCTGCCACATCTTCAGGAAGGTGAAACGGCGGACAATACGCCTGTACAATAACTGGCAGAGTAAACGCCGGAAAAAAGTTAACCCAAACAGCACCACGAATGGGCAAAGCCACCGAAGCAAAAAGCACATCACCTCCATACACCACCTCATCCACCATCACCATCACCACCACCACCACCACTATCACATCAGCAATGGGAGCCCTCGAGGGCTGCGCTCCAACCCTGAGATCTGCAACCTGGAACTCAAGGTCATGAAACCTGGAGGTCAATTGATGCTTCCTTCTCCATCACCCAACTTGCAAAGCCCTGCTCCTCCTCCAGATGCGGAGTCTGTGCACAGCATTTACCATGCAGACTGTCATGTCGAAGGACCCCAAGTGAACTGTAAGTCTTCCAATGCCCCTGCAAGCATTAAACTGACTGCTGGACTCTCCAACCATGGCAACATGAACTATCCTACCATCCTGCCTTCTCCAACTAGCAAAGCTGGTTCTGTTCCCGTTCCCAAAGGGAAAAAGAATGGCAATTCACCTGTGGCAGTGGTTAATAGCCCTGTAAATTTGGGCACAGATTCTTATGGGAGGCTGCAGCAACTGGTAGGAGAGCATGGTAAGGAGAAGCAACCTGATTTTCTTTGCTTTTAGGAGAACTGGGCAAAGGGCAAATTCCTCAAGAGTTAAGGTGTTAATGATGGCCATCTAGGGTGCTGAAGATGGAGGCTGTTTTGCAAATGGTGTCTGAACTGAGCGCTGAATCCAGAAGTAGGACATGTTGAGGGACTGAGAGTTTAATTCCTTCTGCCCTTGTATGTGCAGTCATTGGGTAAAGCAAGATACAGGATGGCCTGGGCAGTGAGTTCAGGCCACTGCCAGAGGCCTCTTTACCATAGCTACAAAGCATGTGTTTTTGAGCTCTTCTCATGTGCTTTGTGATATCCTGGAGGTTCTCCCTCTGTTCCCACGCAAGAACAGATCTATGCAGCCCTTGGAATTACAGCTCTGGTGAATGATGGACCTGCTGGCTGCAGCCCTGCAGCAGAGAAGCCCCAGCTGCTGGTGGGAGATGGTACCTTCAAAGGGAAGAGTGGGTGGAAGCTGGTGGAGAAGCATAAGGTATAGGAAACATATGAAGTTTAAAACAGGAAGGCACTGAATGAGCTCAAAACAGACACTTCTAGAAACCCCTGGTTCTGCTCTGACGGGCTCCTGAACCTCTGAATTTCTTTTTGGCAAGGAGAAGAAGATTCAGAGGAAGACCCATGGCCACTGCCAAGTCTTGCTCTGTGCTAGTCCCCAGGGGGTGCATGTGAGGGCAGGAGTGTAGCAGAGCTACAAGTCTCAAGCTTTCACTCTCATCCTTCCCCACGTGTGGAAGAAATGTAGAGATGAGCGTTAGTGCAGATTACTACAGGAGCTCCATTCAATCTGAATGAATGAGGAACATCTTGGGGACTCTCTTGACCTCTGCCCCATCCTGATCTGTACAGACCGCAGCCACACCAGCACTGCTAGTTAGTGTAATTTTATCTCCCTTCACATGTAAATCACCCACTGCTGGAGTAGTGATTACATGCAACACTTAGGTTTCCATTTTGCAAAATATTTCCAGTCGTCATGGCTGGAGCTAAAGGCTGAAAGACAGTCTTAAACCCTCAAGCAGTAAAAAGTCAAGAAAGTCTAGCTTCTATTTTTTAGTCTCTTTAAGCCAAACTCGTCATCTGTTTTTTTCAATGCCTGTGTTTTCCAAAACTGTTTCTCTGTGTGTGCATGGACACAAATATTTATCCTAGTGATGTATGTGCTGAAAAAATACCAGGCCTAGCTTGGGGGGGATCACAGTAAAGGTTGCTTGCCAAATAGGTTGGGTGGTTTGTCTTTGTTAATTTTTTTTTTTTTTAATTGACTGTACAAAAGGATAAAGTGGATTGTTTATAGAAGTTGCCTTCGGCAGGCATTTCTGTGCTCTTGGGAGCTTAGCAGGAGGGCAGAAGGGGGCAAGGTTAGTTGCAACGTTGTTCCGTCGTTAAGCAAGGGCTTTATATGAATCACTGGTTCATCTTTAACTATGCAAGTTAATGCAGGTTATTGTGAGAATGTGCATTTACCTTGAGATAAAAGCCCAGGCTCTGCAGAAGTCTGGAACTGGGAAAGCAAGGACGAGCAGAAGAGCTGTTGCTTGGAAGGCAGCGCTCAAGTCAGAGGTTTGGTTCTTTGTGCTTGCAGGGGGATCTGCTGCTGGGGTCCTCTTCAGGAGAAGAAAGCCCAAGACCTCAGTCCCAACTGTGACATCTTAGGGCCATTTGAACGACTTAGGAGAGCTTCACGTAGCCTGTGGTTGTTCTTTGAAAGCCAGAGGTTAGGTGGAGTTGCTGTTAATAATGCAGTGGCAGTATCCTCTTTTTACAGAGGCGTTTCAGCCCAGAGGATGCCAGAACGCTTTAAACAACTCTCGTTGAAATTGTTTTGTCTCCTTCAGAAGTGTGGTTGTACCTAGGGGAAGGGGTGGATGCCGCAGCTCTTGGCTGGTGAGCAGCAGCTTACCTGGCCTCCAGAGGAGCACAGGGGCTGCGAGGGGAAGCAAGTTAGCCGGGTCTATCTGGAGACCCTGTCTCACGATGTGCCAGTGCCCAGCAGTTCCCCTCCACGGCTCTGGCTCTTTCCAGGCCCTCCTTCCCACTCCAGCCACAGCCCCTCCTGCCACACCAGCAGGGCTGAGTCAGATTCACTTCTGCACCGCCACCGTTTTCATACAGCAAGGATGATGAATGCATCTTCCAGGCTTCAGGAGGATCTTTAAGTGCCAAATAAGCTAGTTTCTGAGGGCGTAGCTCTGCCAGGCCCTGCTCCCAACTCATGTTTCTCCATCCCAGCCTAAACTTGGCAAAGGAGCTGCGTTAAGTCCCTGCCCTGTGCTCAGCGGGGAAGGTGAGGTGAGCTCAAGAGCTCGCCCAACCCTCCTGGCCTCAACATCTTTGGACAAACATAGAGTTATTTCACTTAATTCTCTCTCCACTCTTACAAGTCGACAAGCGGAGTCTGTTCACAGCAACACTTGTGCAAGGAGAGCACAGAAGTGATAATTGAGAGCATTAAGGAGGCATTAGCAGCCAGGGCACTCACAGCCCCAGCTGGAAATAAGGTTGGTGTCTGCTGGGAAAGATGCAGTTGTGGGAGAGAGTATTCTCTTCCCTTCTTTTGTTGTGGAATTGAACAGCATAAAGTACAGCCTGTTCCTCCGTGTTCTTGTGCCCTGCGATGCTGTGAGGTTATTTTAGCAGGCAGCCAAGGAGACTCTGGTATTTTGAAGACATCTGCGGCACCAGTATTTTTCATACAACTTTTAACACTTTGATAGCATTAAAAGACATCTGGCAAGCCCACTACCTCTGCTACCCGTGCTACTGTGGCTGCGCTGCAGAGTTCCCTCATCAGACCGGTCCCGATCAGAAACAGCGTGCGAATGTGTAGTGCTGCGCCGGTGCTGCTTGCGGGTTGAGTGAGGGGGCAGAGATTTCTCATCCTTCTGGTGTCTTTGACGCAATGAGCAGGAGGGCGACAGTCCTCTTCTGCAAGACTGTTTCGAAGGGCAGTCGTATCCGAGTGACATTCAGTCAAGTGAAATGTATTTTGACTCTTGTCACAACCCGGTTTTCAAGCTAGCTGGGGTGCTTTTGTTTTGTTTGGTGCTGCCTTCTCTTTAAAGACATCCTTAAGCGTCAGGCTGGAGTGGCTGGAATCAGCAGCGTTGATGCTGGGTGAGCTCCAAGCTCCCCGGCCCTGAGCCAAGAGCAGCCGCTGCCTTTTTCTTTGTCTCCCCCAAA